CTCCCTCTATCTGTCCCTCCCTCCCTTTTGTAATCCAATGAAGTTTAGGCAACAAAGCAGAACTATAAACCCCAGAGCCTTTTTATTTTTTGTGTGCAGAAAGAGCGATTTCTAAAATAAATTCCCTGCAGCCAACCTATATCCAAAGTGGCTTTCCAAATGCTACACGAAACAACGCCTTCCGGCAGCCTCCACGACGTGTGTCTCAAAAGCTCAGTTGTACGTGGCGAAGGCCTCAGGCAGGTTCCAATGCTTCAGGGCACTTCATTGTCCATCTTGCCAATTTTCACCACCGCTGTTATGAACATCTTGTAGAACCAATCCTTCATCATCGTGAGGACATAACCACAGTGGTGATGATGATTGATGATTGATGAGACTATCCATTCCGTCATGTCCAATTCTTGGTGATCCTATGGCCCACATCTTCTGACCTTGCACTGGTGTCATGCCCCTGTCGGAGTCTGAATCCGAGGAGGAGGAAGATGAACAGCTGACATAGGGAGTGGGAGTGTGGCTCCGTTGGCTGTGGAGGAAACTGGGGAAGGGCAAAGTCCGTCTGGGCAGAGCAGGGGAGAGGGAGAACAAGGGAGAGGGAGTTCAGAGGAAGACCCAGGCCCACCCCCTCTTCATCCTAGGGCACGCAGGGAGGAACGGAGAAGGGAGCAAAGTGGGTTGCGTGGCTTACGGGTGAGGAAAGGGCCCTGATTCCCTTCATTAGCCACACCTGGGAAGAGAGTTTAAAAGAGATGCAGGCTGAGCGCGGCAGTTGTTGGGAAAAAACGTGAATTTATCTTGTATCGTCATGGCTTATCTGTGTTCCTGGCATCTTCCCAACTGTGAGTTTTTCCGTGCCTTCCAGTCTGAAATTCTTGCTCCTGCCCTGCCAAACTAATTAGTTCAGTTTGGCTTGTTTGGACTTTAAGTTACAGTTTGTGTTGACCCTGTTTTGGACTGAATTTCCTGCAGCCAAAGGCTGTTCCTGGGAGAGTTTTTCTCTAGCCAGAAGGTAACCTGGACATTGGGGGCGAAGTTGGAGCTAATAAAGGGACTCTTATTGAATATCTGACTGTGTTGCCTTTGTGCTACACCCCCAGGTCATCACAACTGGCTTCTTGTGAGTTTTTCTGGCTGGGGTCAGCTTGGATGGTGTCCAGCCAGTATGTTCTTTGGAGCCCTGGTTCCCTTGCATGGCTAATTCTTCCAAACCTAATTTGGAGACCATCATGAAAATAACTTTTATATTGCCTTCAGCCATGACTGGTTGATGCTAGAACCCCTCTTCTTCTCCAGACTGGACATTCTTCCTTCTAGAATTGTCCAGACAATGCCAGCTTCTATCAGAAATATCTTTCCAACTCTCCTTTCTTGGCTGCCTCAAGACATTTTATCCCTTTTGGCATTGTCTCATTTCAGTGTTGATGTATTTGCGCCGCTAGTGCCAATGTTTTAAGTCGACATCTATGGCTTATAATTCTTTCCATATGATGCAGAGGGAAACGTCTTGATTTCATTTTGGTAATGCTTCCCTACGGAATGACTTGGAAGCCCCATTTTTCACGAGGCTGTGCTGGAAGGAAGGAAGGAAGCCATAGATTTCTTCAGGGCAGAATTGCCTCGTTGGCTTCTTGGTGGTTATTCAAGGAAGATTATAAATGACCTTCAAAAGGCTGTCAGTGTATAATCCGGTTCCCCTTTTTAAACGCTAATCCTAATTTAAAAGTAATAATTAGGAAGGTGTCTGGCCTTGTTTGGACTCAGAACTAGACACCTGGGCCTGGTTAAGCACCGGAATCGGAATGGCGCTACGAATTCCAGGTTAGACTCTCAAGTTAAAAAAAAAAAAACATTCTGGAAGAAAACCGTGGCACCTGTCAATGAAATCACCAACAGGCCACACTAGGAATACTGTGTGCAGTTTTGGTCGCCTCGATGTAAAAAAGATGTTGAGACTCTATAAAAGAGTTCAGAGAAGAGCAACGAAGAGGATTAGGGGACTGGAGGCTAAAACATATGAAGAACGGTTGCTGGAACTGGGTATGTCTACCGTGATAAAAAGAAGGACTAGGGGAGACATGATAGCAGTGTTCCAATGTCTCAGGGGCTTCCCCAAAGAAGAGGGAGTCAAGCTATTCTCCAAAGCACCTGAAGGCAAGAGAAGAAGCAATGGCTGGAAACTAGTCAAGGAGAGAAGCAAACTAGAGCTAAGGAGAAATTTACTGACAGTGAGAACAATTAATCAGTGGAACAAATTATGGGTGCTCGAACATTGGAGGTTTTAAAGAAGAGATTGGACAACCATTTGTCTGAAGTGGTGTAGGGTTTCCTGCCTAAGCAGGGGGTTGGACTAGAGGACCTCTAAGGTCCCTTCCAACTGTGTTATTCTATTCTATGTCTTCTGTCTGCTACAGTTGGGTTAAAAAACATTAAGTACGAAAATGGCTCAGAGAGGCTCCTGGTGGAGGGCTAGAATCACATAGTAGAATAGTAGAACCACCTCTCGAATTCAACCTTATGTTCGGTGCAAAAATCCAAATTAAACTACAGGTAGTGTTGCACTTACAAGGGTTTATTTAGCGGCCGTTGAAATTTACAGGGCCACTGGAAAAAAAAGGGACGTAGGATCCCCTTTTTGCCACCTTCTGACAAAGTCAACAGATAAGTCAGACTCACCATGTTATTAACTTAACAACTGCAGTGATTCTCTTAACAACCGTAAAAAAAAGAAAGGTCTTAAAATGGGGCATCGCTTCACAAATGTCTCACTTAGCAACAGAAATTTTGGGCTCAATTGTGGTCATAAGTCAAGGACTTCCTGTATCCCTACTTTTTTTTTGGTGGGGGGACAGAGAATTCGCTGTTGAATTTCTACTTGAGCAAGAGGGGGTTGGACTAGAAGACCTCCAAGGTCCCTTCCAACTCTGTTATTCTGTTTGTCTTCCGAATTTTTTTCTACTCTTCACTTGGAACTAGCTTTCTGGCAGATTAAAAATTTCAGTAGGTTAAATTGTTCCTGGATTCTGGAATGACAGAATTCTTTAATCTTCTTTTCTAATTACACTTCCAGTTTCCTCCCTAAAGTCCTTGGACCTTCCCTTGATCTTCGCAACATTGATCTAGTCAACATTACCCTGAAATATTTCCGTTCAGTGATAATGCACTTGATCATTGATCATTGGCCTATCAATTCCTGAGTAAAAATTTCATGTTGTGCCTGTAACACTCTCTCTTTCAAAGTTGGTCACCCCGTGGGTGAAAGGTTGGGAATTATAATTCTGGTCTTCTGTCTCCCAACTGCAAATATTCACTGAATGCTTTCCGTGGGAGACTAGCTTGGGGCTAGATGTCAAATTCATTGTAAACAGCTGTTTGGGAGTGAGCCCTCTTAGGAGAAAGGGGAAAAATGTATCTTAAGCCTTGGAAAAGAGGAGGAGGAGGAGGAGAGGAGGAGGAGGAGGTGGAGGAGGAGAAGAAGAAGAGGAGGAGGAGGAGGAGGAGCAGGAGGAGGAGTGGTGGTGGTGGAGGAGGATGAGGAGAAAGGATGAGAAGAAGAACAAGAAGAACAAAAAAGGAGGAGGAGAGGAAGGAGAAAGAGATGAAGGGGAGGAGAAAGAAGAAGAGGAGGAGGAGGAAAGGAAGAGGAGAAAAACAAGAAGAACAAGAAAAAGGAGGAGGAGGTGTGAGAGGAAGAAGGAGGAGGAAGAGGAGAAAGAAGAAGAGGAGGAGAGGGAGAGGAAGAAGAGGAGGAAGAAGAAGAGAAGGAGGAGGAGAGGAAGAGGAAGAAGAAGAGGAGGAAGGTGAAGAGGAGGAGAAGAATAAGAAGAGAAGGAAAAGGAGATTTAAAATGTTGACAGTCACAGGGTAGGAATGGAGAATGCTGTCCTTTATTTGCCCTCTTCCAGCCTGTCCCTTGTCAAATTTAGCATTTTTTGGTCCTCTACCTGCTAAAATGATGCCATTTAGTTCCCCTGCTGGCTTCGTTGCATTGTAGGTCAAAGTCTCCATCTTAGTTGGCTCCTGCACATCGTAGCAGAAAGATCTATCTTTCATCTCTCTTCCCATAGTTAGACAACTCATCAGTGGAACAAGTGGCCTCCAGAAGCTGTGAATTCTCCAACGCTGGAGGTTTTGAAGAAGAGATCGGACAACCGTTCGTCTGAAACAGGATATGGTTTCCTGCCTGAGCAGGAGGTTGGACTAGAAGACCTCCAGGGTCCCTTTCAACCAGTGGTGGGATTCAATATTTTTTTTACTACTGGTTCTGTGGGCGTGGCTCAATGGGCGTGGCAGGGGAAGGATACTGTAAGATCTCCAGTCAGAGGTGGGATTTGCTGGTTCTTCGAACTACTCAAAATTCCCGCTACCGGTTCTCCAGAACTGGTCAGAACCTGATGAATACCTCCTCTGCTTCCAACTCCGTTATTCTGTTCTGTTATTCTGTTATACAAAATGTCTATGGATGGAAACCACATGTCGACAAGGACCCACAGACAAAGGGGCCCCTCCCTTGGGGGTCTGAACTGCAGGCTGTTACATGGCCAAAGCGGAGAGAGGCAACTTAAAATCCAGAATAGAACAGAATAGAATAACAGAGTTAGAAGGGACCTTGTAGGTCACCTAGTCCAACCCTGTCCTAGCAGAAGACCCTATACTATTTTGGACAAATGGCAGTCCAGTCTCTTCTTGAAAACCTCCAAGGATGAAACTCCCACAACTTTTGAAGGCAACTTCTGTTCCATCGATTGATTCTTCTCCCTGTCAGAAAGTTTCTCCTTATTTCCAGGTTGAATCCCTCCTGGATCATTTTCCATCCATGATTCCTTATCCTTCAGGTGCTTTGGAAAAGAGGTTGACCCCCCTCCTCTCTGTAGCAGCCCCTCCTCAAATATTGGAACATGGCTATCCTGTCTCCCCTGGTCCTTCTCTTCCCTAGACTAGCCATGCCCAGTTCCTATAGCTGTTCTTTATATTTAGAATAGAATAAGAGCTGGAAAGGACCTTATAGATCATCCATCCATTATTCCTTGTCAGAACATTCCTCCTTATTTCCAGGTTAAATCTCTCCTTGTTCAGTTTCCATCCATTATTCCTTGTCTGGCCTTCAGGTGCTTTAGAAAATAGCTTGACCCCCTTCCTCCTCTCTATGCAACCCCTCAAATATTGGAAGGCTGCTCTCCTGTCTCCCCTGGTCCTTCTCTTCCCTAGACTAGCCAAGCCCAGTTCCTGTAACTGTTCATCATATGTTTTAGCCTCTAGTCCCCCCTAATCATCCTGGTTGATTGAGAAAATGACTTGTGAAGCTACTTCCCTCCCAGCCGGTTTATTCATTGAAACAAAGCAACAGATAGCCGCTATTCTTCGGGGAAAAAAACGTCTAAGAATGATTTACACTCAGAACATATAGGAGCGCCTAAAAGTAAATATTGACATTGCTTTCAATTGTTTTTTCAGACTTTTCTTTTGGCATCCTTTCTCTTTTGGCTCCGGAAAGCCCTCTGTGAGAACTTTTACAACTTGGCAATCCTAAAACACAAAACAATCCTTCTGCTGCTTTTTTCGCTCTTCGGCTCATCGCAGCATCCTAATAACGCTGTTTGTTCCTTGAAGCCAAACCGGAAATTTTTTATAAAACATGAACTCGGTTTATTGACAATGGCAACAATATAAAAGGCGACGTTCAGCTTTGCCTGCCTCCAACAGCCTCCCTTGTTGCTTGGTTCAGTTTGGTGCCAAGTGTGTCCTCCATATAAGGCATGGTTTGCTTCGGTCTGCTTTGATGCCACTTGGGATTACATTATTCCTTAATGTGGAATAGATTTTATGAGTGGTTAGAGATAAGAGGTAGAAATTAGATGGAGAAAGAGTCATGCTATGTATGAATTAAACATGAACGTTGTCTATAAGTGTGCTAATGTTGTGGCCTGCCAGCGGCCAGCAGAGCTGGGGACAAACTTGGACAGTGAGGAGGTTGGGGACAAACATGGGCCAGTCCTGGAGTCTGAGGAAGGCTCTGTGTCAGAGGCAGAGATGGGGTCAGGGCCATCTGACAGTTATCAGCTGCCTTTGAAGCCAGAGATCAGTGGGGAAGAAGAACAGCTGGAGCCTGTTCCCAGTGTGCGCATGCACAGAGCTGCCAGAAGAAGGGAACAGTTAAGAAACAAGGGTTGCCTTGGGAGTAAAGCCACAGTTGGACGTTGAATGGCCCCTCCCATAGGGAATCAAAGAAGAGCGAAAGGGAAGTGGTGTTTGCAGGAGATAATTAGTTCGTTTAATTAGTGTGAAGATCTGTTCCTGACTTCTTGCCATGTAATTGCTGCTACAGTGTGGCGTTTGGAAGTTATCGGCCTGGCAACTCTCCAAGCCTGAGAAAGGTCTGTAGTTGTGAGATCTCATGAAAGGCTATTTGTCGGGACTTGGCTGGAGGGGAATTCATTTTAAACTAAATAAAAGGGGTTTTTTTATCAGGACGAGGAGTCGGCTTCATGATCTTGGGAATGTCTAGGTCAGAACAGCTAATATAATCAATAGGGTTATAAACAAGATGATCATATAATTATAAATTTGGTTAAAATTATTCTGTTGTACTATTACTATTGTTATTAGCATATATGTTACTATTTCTTCCCCCTCTCTCCTTCCTTCTGTAAAATACACTGCATTCAAAATATTTATATATAAATAAAAAAAACTTGATGGAAAAAAAAGGATTACATTTTGGGGGAGATGTCACACAGTGCATTTCCCAACCAGAAATTAATTAAATAGTAAGACAGGTTTTACAGCTAAATATGCATGTAATAGGCTCAACCTTGGCCCTGTTAAGAATTTTGGAGCTGATCCCATTTCTTCTCTGCCATCAGTTTTAAGCACAGCAAGTTAATCTGGATTAAATGTTGTTTATTGGGAGGTGGGCCAAGGTGGAAGACAACAGAAGACACCAAATCTGAATGAATGAGGCTTAAGAAGTCTTTAGTGCATTTCTTTTATCCATAATATATATTTTTTGAGTTCAAAAATGTTATTAGGATTATCATAATATAAAATTAATCTGAATTACAAGTTGGTTGTTGGGAGATGGGCTAAGGTAGAAGACAGTGGGGTTAGCAAACTTGAATGAGTGAGATTTAAGAAGTCATCCTTCATTTCTTTTATCCAGAATAATTATTTTTGGGTGAAAAAAATTCACTAGGATTATCATAATATAAAATTAATCTGAATTAAAAGTTGGTTGTTGGGAGATGGGCCAAATTAGAAGACAGCGGAAGACACTAAACCTAAATGTATGAATCTTAAGAAGTCTATTTCTTTTACCCAGGGTTCAAACTTTTTATTAGGATTATCATAATATAAAATTAATCTGAATTAAAAGTTGGTTGTTGGGAGACGGGCCAAGGTAGAAGATAGCGGAAGACACCAAACCTGAATGAATGAGGCTTAAGAAGTCTTCACTGCATTCTTA